ATGCCCCTGCATTTCTTGAATTGAGGGGTCGGTTTGTTAACTGTTTTCGAGAAATTGTTTTCCGACTCTTTTTGTATTCGAATGACCGAAAGCTAATCGATTTATGGAAAACGTTTTTCGTAAACTAAAAACAAGTTTAGATTAGGAAAAAAACAACTTTCTCTTATGGAGAAGGAGAAAATACTCTCCCTATATCACTAAACGAATGAAAACTAACCCTTTTCCTTGACAATGATTCCCATGGAAAATATTTTCCTTTATCAGACTTATAATGTGACCGGACTTGACTTACCTTAGATATTGTTCACTTTCTCATCTCATATTGAGCCATACGGTTTTGTCCATTTGTTACTGCTTTGATTCCGAGCACTCTTAATATTAGGATTCCTATATTGAACCGAGTCTTCCCTCCAGAATGCGTTTCTAGTTGATCAATTTCAGTCTCACGTATATTATCCACCGGCACTCTTTCCGTTCAACCATGATTTAGCTTATTCCTATCTCCTCCAAGATCATCGTTCTAAAAACTTTCCGGGAGCCACGTCTTGTCTAACCTCTAGCCCCAATGCTTGTTTTTCATCTAAGTCGGGTTGGACAGACGGACGCTCACCAAAACCCGAACTTCTATTGCATAGACAATGCCGATGCGAGCTCGGTATGCCACAACCGTTTAACTCACTCGATCCTCATGTGAGGCCCGTTAAAATCAAAGGCTGTCATGCACTGGACTCACAAGAACCCGATCCCGACCCCGACCCCAACCCCTTCCGATGATTTTTCCAAACTGTAGCTCCGGCCTGGCCATAAATGGACCACGCGCTCCAGGACACGTTATTCTCCGTCGAGCATTCATTAGCCCCCCGCTTCCAAACACTCCCAGTCTCTCGTCCCCCTTCCAACGGCTATGCGAGATAAGAAGAACGCCACTCGCATTTTCCCTCATTTTCTTCCCGAAACTTTCCCGAGAAAGTAGCGTCAGGGAAAAAGAGAACAGAAGAAGAGAGAAAGAAAATGTCCGCAGCGCCGCGATTCCTCTTCGCTCTCGTATCGTCCCTCTTCCTCTTCTCGGCCTCCCTCTCCGGCTCGCCGGACTCCGCCGCGCTGCTGGCCTTCAAGGTGTCGACGGGCGGCTCCGGCTCCGGGCTCGCTCGCCGGCTGGGCGGCCAACTCGTCGGATCCGTGCCTCGGCCCGTGGCTCGGCGTCACCTGCAGCGCGAGGACCGGCCGCGTCACGAAGCTCGTCCTGGAGGGCCTCAACCTGAGCGGCTACGTCCAGCCGCTGAGCCAGCTGGCCGAGCTGAGAGTCCTGAGCCTGAAGCGCAACCGGTTCGCGTCGCTCGCCGTCGACCTCTCCTCGTGGCCGAACCTCAAGCAGCTCCACCTCTCGGGCAACGGGCTCTCCGGCGAGTTCCCCTCCGGGATATCGGCGCTCCGGCGCCTCCGGCGGCTCGACCTCTCCCGCAACAACTTCACCGGCGTGATTCCGCTGGCCGAGCTGGCTCGGTTGCCGCGCTTGCTCACCCTCCGGCTCGAGGCTAACTCGTTCACCGGAACTCTCGGCTCGGCCGTTGACTCGTTCCCTTCGCTTTCGGACGCCAACTTCTCGTACAACGAGCTCTCGGGGCGAATTCCGACATCCCTGTCGCGCTTCCCGGCGACGGCCTTCTCCGGAAACAAAAACCTCTGCGGAAAGCCGTTGTCATCCGTTTGCTCCAACCACACAGCAGCGATCGACTCTGTGCAGCCTGAGGCGATCGCTCCGAAACCAAGGCGTCTGAACGATCGCGCGTTGCTGTCAATCGTCGCCGTCGACGCAGTCGCAATCGTGGCGGCGCTCACGACCGTCACGTGGTGCTGTTACAGGAAGAAACGCCGCCGCAGCGAGAACCCCAGCGAGGCCAAAGCCGGAGCTCAGAAGCAAACGTACGGGATCAGTGGCGGTGGCAGCGGAAGTGGAGGCGAACTGGTGGTTTTTGGCGGGTGCAGGGGGTTCGACAAGGTGGACGATCTGCTGCGATCGTCGGCGGAGCTGTTGGGGAAGGGGAGCGTGGGGACCACTTACAAGGTGGCGATGGCCGACGGCAGCACGGTGGTGGTGGTGAAGAGGGTGAGGGAGGCGCTGAGGAGGAGGAGGAAGGAGGTTGATGTGAGACTGAGAGAGATTGGGGGTTTGAGGCATCCCAATGTGGTGAGCCTGAGGGCTTTCTATCATTCCCAGGATGAAATGCTCTTGGTCTATGACTATTTGCCCAGAGGAAGCCTGCACTCCCTGCTTCATGGTTTGTGCTTATTACCTCATGAATTCATCTTAACATGGTCTCTGTTTTGTGCTTGGAAATGGTTCTTTCTTTGTTGCAGATTGTGCAATTTTGCAGTATGAATCACTTTGACATGTTGATTGATTGGGGTACTTCGCATTTGCAAATTTTCTGCATTTCTTGTGCAAATTGTGGCTATACTATTCACGTGCTGTTGTTCTTCCTTGTTTTGTTTCTTGGCATAGAAGTGGCAAGTGTTTATTGGTTAATACTTCATCAGAGAATAGATAATCTTTGTGGTTAGCCTACGAATGCCCAGTTTTTTTTAAGAGGTTAATCTTTTCAACTTCTAAATTCATCGGAAGATTCAAAGCACAATTTAGAGAGAGCGGCTCTTTAAACTTCTTTCTTTCAAGTGCAAATTGTATCGAGTTCTAGGTTGACCAGTTAGATATTCTTTTAACACTAATTGTTGTTGCAATTTGCAAGTGCCTTTTTGTGACTGATGAACTGCAAATGTTTCAGAAAATAGAGGACCAGGGAGAACTCCATTGGATTGGACCACCAGGATAAAGCTAGCTGCAGGTGCCGCGAGTGGCCTAGCTTACCTTCATGAGTATAGCAATGCGAAGCTCGTCCATGGACACCTCACATCATCGAACATTATAGTTGATAACTCAGGAAGCGCCTGTATTTCCGACATCGGTCTCCACCAACTCTTGCTTTCGCCATCGTTATCAGACAACACCCATACAGCTCCGGAGCTGATGCTCAACAACAGTCATGGAAGCACTCAGAGGAAATATACTCAAAAGTGCGACATTTACAGTTTTGGGGTTGTCATCCTTGAAATTCTGACAGGGAAAATGGCGAATGGAGAGGGAGAGACGAGTTTGGTGAAGTGGGTTCAGCGTGTGCCCCAGGAAGAGTGGAAAAGGGAAGTGTTCGATTTCGAATTGTTGGGTTACAAGGAAATGGAAGAAGACATGGCAGCTCTTCTGCAAGTGGCTTTGCTCTGTTTGGCTACATTGCCGAGGGATCGTCCCAAAATGAGCGTGGTTCGCAATATGATTGAAGATATCAGGACCAAGGGTGGAAGTGAAGGCCCGACGAATTGTTCGGTGAACAATCTGTCTTCCGATTCTTCGCCTTCTCGGTCTGAAAGAACTTAAAACTGCGTTAGCAGCTACTTTATGAAGTGATGAGTACCGGCGAAATAAATCTTGTTTAATGTCAACAGAAAGGCGAGGGAAGCAGGATCTGCAATCATCTCCACCCTCCAATAAACGATAAGCGCAAGGAAAACCGGAGCTCCTCTCTTTCAGAGTTACGGGGTACATACTAAACTAGTGTAGCTGATCAGTAATACACATGCATATTTGATTATATTCTTTGTTCTAAATTGCACATATAATTATCATGTTCTGATTATGTTGGTGCCATTGCTGAGAGATTGACTACCCGTGATACCGAGCTTCCCTTCTCTCCCACCCTTCGTTTTTCTGTCCTGTCATGAGATAACAGAGCATAATTATAGAATCCTGCATCTTTATTCCCATTTCTGGTATGCATGTATTTGACCACAAAGAAGTCTAATGCAAGAGTCAATCTTTTTCTTCCACTCAAGGAATGCAAGTTTTTTCACAGACAAGGTGGTCTAAGTGTAACAGATCACATATTGTAATGGAATTTGCTGTGGTCAAATCTTCTTCCTAGGACAAAAAAGTGGTCTGATTCCGGCCTTAATGCAACATGGATGCAGAAAACGGGAGCCCCAAATACAATTGTTAGCCTGCTGGCCAGTCAAGTTCTATTCATAAAGTAAGCAAGCTCGAGGTTTTAGCCCAGCACGAAATATGCATCTTCGATACGTCTTCTCATGCATTGCTGGGTTCCGAACGCATGGATTGATCCTGGAAATGTGAAAGTTGCATTCACAAAAAGTCTTCTCGTGCAAACCAGTTCATACCAACTAAAATGAGACGCACAACCCAGCTATCCTTGCTTGTCGATGCGCTCTGTGATGGAACGACGCGCATAAGACTGAGGTCCACATAACATGTGACGGGTGGGTCCGATGCAACTCCAGCGTCCTAAAAGTTTCCCCAAGCGAAATCGCAGCTTGCAGGGAAAGCGCCCTTAGACTTAGTCCTCACTACAACAGCATTTTCCAGGAAATATCCAGCCCGAAACAGCTCAATTGCAGCTGTAAGTAGGCAAAACAACACAGGTTTTCACAGAACTAGTATCGTCGACCAGAAGCCGATGGTCCAGCAGTTTACACCGCCTAGCGCCTCAATGACGCTGGTTGTGTATCCAGGTAGGGTCATATTACAACAGACAACCACAATCAGGTTCTCATTGCTATACATACACCACGATCTATTCATGTGGGATCCATATGTACTGTCCGGACTCGGACCACTTGCACCTGTCCCTTTGAAGTGGCATTAAGGGCATAAAACAGAAGGGTTCATTAAGAGATACTGCGTTTGAGAGAGACAGAGGAAGCAGAACAGCATTGAGCTTTCTTCCATATTATGGAATTCACAGGGATCATTAAATCGACATTCAACCTGCTTCTAGTCTTGAGTTTCAGCAAGCGGGCTCAATACGCGTAAGAAGCATTGTTTGTGCATCAGAATTCTAAGAGGTAAGCAAGGAGCACAGGTTGAAGTGGAAGGATAAAAGTTAGATGAACACGGTATGCAGATGGAAAAGTATTGGTGCTACACAAATGAAGACAGGTGAATGAAATTCTCTTCATAAAAGAAGTAAGAAAACACATTGTTTCGAATGCTTCAATGCATCAATCTCCAAAACAGCGAATATCCAGATAAAAGCCACATGAATGTGCATCAGCTCTATGAACCAAACAGATACAAAACTAATGAAGCTTAGCACTGCACAAATTTCTCATCAGCAACAGATGCTGGAAACCGAATGAGGAGAAAGAATTTTGCCAGCCTGAAGATCATCTTCATCGATGTTTAAACACCCATCAGAAACAAGATGAGTCGACCACACAAACTTGCAGATCGAAAACAACAAACTAAACACTCCAATCAACGAGAGATATGGATTATTTTGCAACCATGAATGATCAAACATCAGTAAATGATCCTATCAAAATCATCAGCTGATCAGCAGGCATAGATGGCGGCACTTCAGCCAAATTTAAACTAGTCAATTGAATTCATCCGAAGGTATTGACAGCTTCCCACACCAAGTTCTTTGGGACGGGACTAGCGAGATCTCTAGCCTGCAACGCAGCCGCCCTAAGCGTCCCGATAGTCATGGCATTCGCCTTCCAGAAAGACGCGCTATTGTAAGGCAAACTGTGCTTCTTGCAGAGTTCCTCCACGAAAGGGGAAATCTTCCTGAGATGGCACCGGGGCAATCGAGGAAACAGATGGTGCTCGATCTGGAACTGCAATCCGCCGTGAAACCAATCCATCCACGGCGAACACTGGATGTTGAGAGTCCCGGCAGTCTGCTTCTCGAACCAGTCGTTCCCGCTGGGCGGACCGACGTACACGCTCGACGCGAAGTGATTCAAGCAGAACTGAACGTGCTGGATTCCGGTGACGGCAAAGCTCGCCATGACGAACATTATCCTCTCCCCCCAATTCGGGAGGCACGAAACGAGGAGCGGGTACCAAACCCAATACGCGAGGAGCCCCAACATCTCCTGACCCCTGCTGGGCACCTTCTGCTTGGACAGCAGCAATGCGAAGGACTGGGCGAACAGATTGATCCGCGCGAAGCACATGACGGGGTAGAACGTCCAGTGCTGGTGACTGACCAAGAACCTGCAGACGGCATCGAAGTTCATCTTCCTCTCGTAGTAGTACGAGGTGAGGGAGCCGAAGAACTTGGAGGACACCACGAAGAAGGGCATGTGCTGGAGATCCGGATCGAAGTCGAGGCTGTTGCAGGCAATGTGGTGGGCGTTGTGGTTCCGCTTCCACCAGGCGATGCTGATCCCGGCGAGGCAGTTCCCGGTGAGGACCTGCGCGAACCGGTTGAGACCGGGCGCGGACATGATCTGGTAGTGGCCCGAATCGTGCCCCATCCACCCGCTCTGAATCCACAGGAACCCCATCATCCCACCGCAGAGCAGATGGACCCACATGCTCTCGGACCGCAGCACGCCCAGAACGCTAGCGCCGAACAGCAGCGCGATGAACCACATCGACACGAGCGTGACGTGGCCCTTCTTGTCGTACAGCCCCATCTTCACGAACTCGGACACCAGCCTGCGGTAGTCCTTGGACACCTCGGAAACGGAGTAGTCCCGCAGGTAGCACCCGTTGAAGAACCTGTCGAGGTGCTGCCACGCGGCGGCCGGGTGGAAGGCGACGAACGCGTCGGTGGCGTCCTGGCCGGCGAGGTCGCGGAGCGGGAGGTCGCCGCCGGGGTGGTCGTTGATCCACTCGGAGACGTCGTAGATCTTGCCCTGGATGGAGATCCAGAGGTCGCCGGGCTTGTTGTGGGCGGCCAGCTCCTCGAGCGAGATGGAGCGGCGAGGTGCCGAGTCCGCCATCGGAGGCAGGGGAGGAGGTCAGTCTCTCTCTCTCTCTCTTCTTCGTTTCTGTGATTGAAAGAGAGAGAGGGGATACGTTGGAGAAGATGGGTTGTGTTTTTTTTATTTTGGGTGCTGCTGTGCTGGGGGAGTTGGGGGGGGGGGAGGTTGCCGGATTAGTTTCTTAATCGGGTGATTAGGAGTAATTAATTCACGCGATTAAGGAGCTAAAGCAAGCGCTTTTAGCCTGCGGAAATATCTTCTTTGCTGTTCCAAGGCGCGGGGGGGGGGGCCGCCTGTGTTTGGCCGTACGCTTTTTGCGAATCGCGGCTCCCTCGTGACTTTCGCATCGGCACGAAAACGAAAGTCATTTTTTTTAAGGGTTTCCGAGATTTTTTGATATTTTGGATGATGAGGAATTGATTGATGTACCGAAAATGTTTTTCATAGACTAAACACAACAAGTTTATATAGGAGGATTTCGCCTTCTCTAAATCACCAAACAGGTGAAAATTACTTTATGATCCTTGAAAAACGAATTTCATAGAAAATATTTTCGTTTATCATAGAATTTTTAGTGAAACAAATGCACTGCTCTTAGACCTTGTGAATACGTAAGTTTAATGCTATGTTTTAGAAATGGGAAAATGGGGAATGTATAGGTATTTGAAAAGTAGAGGTGTTCGATATGAAAATAGAATCGAATCTCGAGTCACGAAAAATAATAAGATGAGAATCGAAAGCTTGATGGGAAAATCGATTCGCTCAAGCCTGTTTGTTATACTGGTGGTGGATTGTAGCCGTGGCTTATTGTGGTTGTGAAGTGTTGAGATTTGTGTGTCTGTCGATGCATGTTTTGAAGCTACAATGTCCAAATATTCGGCAAAGGCGGCTCTTTGAATTGCCGGAAGCGGTTGTAGCCATAAACGACTTTGCGGTGGTAAAGTGTTTGAAAAAAAAAATAAAACAACCATTTTCACAGTTGAATCTGTTGCGGATAAATTGTACCAAACGAACCCTTAATCAAAGTTAAAGCGCCATGTTTAAGAAAGCTTCTTTTAGTGTCGCTAAGTCGAATTCTGAATTTTTTGTTAGTATGTAACGAAATCAATCTTTAGAAACAATTACAACTATTTTGCGTAAATATACCAATTTTTTAGGAGGAACTTTAATGTTATTTTTCATACGATAGAATGGAATGTAAAAAAAAATTGGAATGCCGAGGATATTGATTTGCGTAATAAGATTGTTTAACTTATGATTTACACTATATTTTCATCTAATTAAAATGAAAGTACTATTATAATCATGTATATGATGGATAAAAGATGATCTCCGAAATATTCTTTTGAAGTCAATAATTAATCAAATGCTGATGGTGATAGTAATTATTAAATTGAAGCATGGAAAACAAATTGATTTGCACAAACGAGTGCAATGTTTTCAATTTATAATTCTCGAATCTTAATTTCCATAACTAATCTACACTCATAACCAGAAATTACCATATAATTGATCGCCTAATCACGAATAACAATTTCGTAACATATAATAATGCATCACAAAGATTCCCGGCTGACTTTTTTTAAGTTAAAAAATACGTTAACTGGTATTTCATTAATGTAAGTTATATTAATCAATAATTGATTTTTTTGGATAATTATTTTCGTGAAAAATAGTATATATCCCACCAACAAATTTGGGCCGTTCCTTCCGACCGCATAAGAGTCGATCCGTAAGTACGATATGTAGGTTGTTAAATAAATTAGTTTTTTTTTTTTTTTAGATTTGCTAATTAAATTACTGGCTGTTTGGGATCTCTCTCGTTCTCGTCCTGGATATTGTTTTTTGGGGGAAGGAAAGCTCGTGAGGTCTTGTTGGTGTCGGAGGACGAGGACAGCGGACAATCGGACATGGCATCTTTCCAGCCAGGCATGGATGAATGAGTGCTGCACGACGATTCGTACTAACAAAAAGAGAGTGAGGAAATGGCTATTTCGAAATCTAGTGGCTCGCCAAATCATGAGGTCAGAATTTCAGGAAATTGCGGTTTTTTTTTCTTTTGAGAAGACTTCTATTTTAAATGCTTTTCGGCTTGCTAGACAGTTCAACAAAGAGAGAATCACGAATATTCCGTTACGGGAAAAATAATATAAATGATTCATAAACTTCGACAGTAACGTGATTTATGAACTTTTAATTTATTCGATCACAGAACTTTACCCTCAATGTGTAGTGTGGTCCCTGAACTTTTAATTTGCTCAATGTGACTTCTGAACTTTTGGTACATGTTCAATCTAGTGTCAGCATTTTATGAAAATGTTCAATGTTGTCGATATGCTTGAATTAATGGAAGGACAATACTAAAAATTTTCATACAGTTTGTGGAGTAAATTGAACATGTAAATTAAGAGTTCGGGGATCATATTACACATTAGGCCAATATTCAATGACCATTTGTGTCATTATCCCTATAGCATATCATTCAAGAGGATTGTAATTAAGGGTGAGCATGGTTCGGGTGGGCGGTTCCCGCATTAGAACCGAGAACCGTCCACTAAGGACCGGTTCCGAAAAATTAGAACTGGGAACCTCTCATTGGTTCGATCGATCCACCCGGAAACCGGACCAATTGGACCGGCGGTCCTATCCGGTTCCCGGATGGGTCCATGGAATCGGTCCCACTAGCCAAGAACGGAGACGGAAAGACGAAGATGGAGACGGAGATGGAGAGTCGAAGACGGTGAGGTAAGCATCGACCGAGAAGAGTGAGAAAGTGAGAGTGAGCGTGAGCGTGAGACGAAAGAGATAGAAGGTGTTTCTCGGCTCAATGTGAGGCTGTGAACGTCAAGCGAGTTAGGTTTAATTTAGGGATTTATGATTTTTCTTTTTTAAAAAAATTTAAAATTTTAATGAATATTATATATTATATTTATTATTATATTACCAGTCCGGTCCGGATGGACAAGCCGGCGGTTCCACGCCTAGAAACGGAAATCAGACAGGTACCCACCGGTTCCCAAAAATTGGAACCGGGAACCAGATCAGCTCCCTTAGGAACAACCAGTTTTGGGCGGTCCCAGCGGTTCCCAATTCTTTTGCACACCCCTAATTGTAATCAAAAGAAAAAAAAATAAATTATGGAAAGAATATACAAATGATGGTTAATTAAGCTTTTTTTACCCTCTCCGATGGCAATGGATGTGGTCCTCTCTAGGGGCAAGCGTCGGTCGAGATTCAATATAGGAATCGGCCGAACTAATTTAGGCTCCATTGGTTCCATAGAAAATGAATAACCTGGAAACCATTTTCTTAAAAATGATTGCTCGTAGTGCTTACAAAAATGAATGAACAAAAAATATTTTCATCATTCACGAAAATGTTTAGACATTAATTGCTGTCCATAAATAAAATATTTTCCATCAACTAATTATTTCAAGCGATATAAACGATCATCGTTTTCATTTTTCGTGAAGCCAACGGAGCCTTTGATTCCGTTTGTTTGAAAAAAAAAAAGTGTTTTTAGGAAATTGTTTTGCGATTTCCAGTATTTTGATGACGGAGAACTAATCGATCTATAGAATACATTTTCCATGGATTGAAAAGTGTAAGCTTAGATTGAAGGAAAATGAGTTCATTTTCTGGTAAGAAGGAAATCAATTTCTCTAAACCACCAGATAAATGAAGGTTAACAAATTTCCTTGAAAATGATATCCATGGAAAACAATTTCCCTGTATTACGAACTTTTTCAACGAAGCAAAACACACTTTCAAATTCGGTTTTTCAGATAACCGGGTATGTTCATGGGTTAAAAAAACCTGGAACCGGCAAGATCTGGTTCGGTTGCTCCGTTCAGGCCTCGAAGCCACCGCCCATTCTACGGAGGAATCGAACCGACTGGGGCCGTTCTCGGACCAGTGAAGGCGGTGCGTTTGTCTCCTGCTTTCCAAAGATTCCCACTCCATTGGACGGACGCCCAAAAAGTGAAACGGGAATGGCGGGCTCCTCCTCGAATTCTACACTCGAGTGCACCGAATACACATGATGTTCCAAGCGCCCCATTGCATCACAAGAAAAGGAATAAAAAGGCCAAAGTCGCAATTATTAGTCCATCAAATCTAACAAGGACTTGTTAACGAGTGATTTTTAGACACTTGTTTAAATATGCTTGATAAAAATTTATATCTATTCTGATACTCTGAGTTACACATAACACGAGGGAGGCAATACACCGAAAATTTTTAAGTTTTCCTGAAGTGGGTATTCAACAAGTGCCCACAAGTCACTCAATTCATTAATTAATTTTCGTATCATAAGAAGTTGCAAACGGGTACATCTGTACCATACTCACCCAAATTAATCTTCGTGTCATAAAATATCACAGCTTAGTAAATTCGTGCCACATTTACCCCTAATAGCTCGGTGTGCATGACTTGACCATTCGATCATTTCTTTCTTTCTAGTGTGAGATATAAAACATGATTAGCATGTAGCTGTATGGTGGTCATATGATGTGGTCACCTCCAATCGATGCCGTGGGCCGTGCGCATAGTCTACTTCATTTGCTGTGCCACTCGCAGTAGTGGGTGATACTATCAAAGAGACAAGGTTCCTAAAACTTGAAAAAGAGATAGAATTCCGCAAAACACACCGTACGAAAGTATGTAATTTTTCAATGAGACAATATCTATTAAGTATATTTGATTCATGAATTTGTTAAAGCAATGCAATTCATGAACGCAAGAGATGAATGATCATTAAATTGAAATAATAGAACTCCCAAAGCATAAACCTGAACCTTCTCAGCTAGATATTCTTCGGGAAGAACAAAAAGAAAAAGAAATTATACATGAACAGATTCAGAGCAATCGCCGGATTGTCACTTCCTCTTGGGAGGAGAGTCGTCGATCCCCACTCGTGACAGTGAGCACATAAAAAGAGATTCAGACACTGGCACTCCCCACTCACGCACCAAGAGAGAGAACACCGGCAGCAAGGGGGCGAGAACCTTTGCAACACATTCACGGTGACGGATGACCGGAGAGTTAGCCGGCGACCGCGATGGTGATCAGGCAAGCGCTGAGCCAATGCGGGTGGCACAGCTGAAACTTGAGTACCCAAGAGTTCGCTTTGCGAGCTTTTGTGGTGAAGAAGTAACGAGAGATAGAGATAGAGATAGAGAGTGATTCGAAGAAGATTGAGAGAGCGAATTTTAAGGCTTCTTAAGTTAGGGTTTGAGAAACCATTAGCGACTAAGTGTGATTTTATATTTCGATGATTCGATTTTCAAACCGAATCGAACTGATAAAATCCGAACCGGCGAAAAGAAAGGTGGTTTTTTTTTTTTCCATTATCCGAACTGAAAACCGAACCGAACCGAATCGAAAATGCATGAAATTTAGGTTCACTTCGGTTTTCGATTCGGTTTTCCAGTTTGGTTCCAACACCCCTAAGATTTAGTGATAGCAAAATGATCAAATCTAATCTGTTATTATTCCATAATATATATATATATATATATATACTTTTGTTTCCCCCTGTTATTTGGGAGAGGGATGATTATTAAGGCATTCGATGCCCATGAACTCTCGATGCGATTGGATTCAATTTGTTAGGTACGCAGTTTTCATTTCGATCTCCTGTTTAAGTGGATCTTGAATGGTAGGTAGTTCATCAAGCGAGCATCTTGGGAATGCTAGGTGCAAAACCAGGATTCATTTTTTTAAAAGAAACCAAAAGCATTATATCATAATTTGTTAATAGTCAATTGGGCCATCCCCGGTTTGCTTCCACGGAATCAAGATGAAATCGAACCCTACGTTATTTTTACACGACCCAAAAGTGTATTGACGGTGTATCCTTTGGTGCGCAAGTTTAGAATATGCTGAACCACCACATGGATATGCCCCCAAAATATCCTACTATCTTTATTGGTCGATTCTCATCTTGTTTTATGCTTTGAGTTCAGATGTGAATCTCTCCATTTGAGTCCCTTCTTAGCTTTAGGTGCATGAAGAGTAGCCAAAGCTATGTTTTGAGTTTTCTAAAATTTTTATTGAGTTGTAGTTGGCGAGTTCGCCGAGCACCTGTGATCTCCCTCCAGCATGACCCTCGATGATTTCTCGAATCGATGTCCAACTACCGTGAGTCGTGGAAATGATGTTTTTCGGATTAAGATGCATTGATTCATCTCTTTCGGGGTTGGTCAGTGTCCGTCGCGAGATTTGATTAACTATTAAGATCGATTTGAACAAAGCTTTTCATGACTTTTTACGTGACTTTCGATTCACCATATTTTAACCTTTTATTTTATTTTTTGTGATCATTATGAATGCGATAAAATGCCTCAAAAAATACAAGCAAGTCAAATGACAAAACGGGACGGTACGAGCAACTAGCCAATCAATAAATCATCTTTCAAGATCGCTTTCCACTCCTCTATGCTAGTACCGGTAGTGGGAGAAAATTATATGTTATATTATATTAGAGCCATGTCAGATGACCCGATATAACAAAATCAATAACAATTTTTTAACGCGAGATACTAATAATAAGCATATCGTTTAATAGAATATGAGAACTATTATCTTGGTGATACCTGTAATTCTCCCCCAATATCGTTATTATCCGTTGGGGAAATTTCAAGGTACCTCCAAATTGAATGCATTTTATGAAAAGAGTCTCCAAAGTAATAATTGTCTCAAATGACCTCCCGATTGAACCACCGTATTCAAAATGACCCTTGCCTCATCACCGGTGATTAAAAAAGCACCTCTCGGCGATCAAGTGCCGATCAAGTGCCCCTTTCTTATCACACGACGGGGGCATTTTTATCCCAGAAATACATTTCCCCCCAATTAAACCCCAAAAACAAAACCCTAAAATTCCTCCTAAAATGGGAGCACAACAATAGGAGCAACATGCACAACGACATGAATGTTGCCAATGAAATTGCCCAATCTTTGGATATGGCATGACATTCGATCCCAAATGAATGAAAAGATCGCATGGCCCATATTACGCCCCGAATTGCATTTTTTCTGTGGATCGGGCGTGTTGGGCTCCTGGCATTATTGGGGGCCCGGTCCAATGAACGAGGGCCCATTTGGCCCATCATGAGAATTGCTGCTATTCTAGTTATAGTTATGTATAAAATTACACTCATAATCACGAAACCGAAGTTAAATTGGAACTCAGTTGAATGTGAGGGTGCTGGAGAATGAGTTTGGAATTTAGTTGGTGAGTTCCCCAAAGTTCAAACTCGATTGATTATATCACTAGGAAATCAACTTTCTTCTAAAGTATGCCAAGCTACATAAGCAATCATATGTTAATAGAAAATTAACTTTCTATTAACATATTTAATTAAGATGTTCACGTTGACTCTTACGTGGCAGCACCCTATATTCACCAGCAAGCCCAATTTGAAAAGGAAAAATAGGCTACAAACGGTTTTAACTTGATCGAGCGAAAAGAGCCGAGTTTCATTGTGGCATAATCTATCACCATATCGAGGGTCGTTATTGTTGCCACATAACCAAGGGATGCTGGTAACCCTCGCCGACAAATCTATAGCGAGGATCCTCGTCGACAGATTTGTAACTTTTTGTTTACATCAACAATGTTAAAAAAATCGATTTTTCTTACATTTTTAGGGTAATTTTGTTTATGAGGCCAGCCAAAATATGAAATATTATCCAAATTTCAATGTGTTAAAAATTACATGTGCATTCATGTGTCAAATGATTATATATCGTGAAAATTTCAGACGTTACCCGATAAGAAAATGTTAAATGCATCCGTCATAAGATTTAGATTAAGATTAAGAAAAAAAAAAGCTAAAAAAAAAAGTATGAAATTTAGATATTCTCTTGGTCGGTTATTGCAATTTCTTCACCAAAAGAGGAACCCGATTGCGCTCCTAGGACGACAAGCACCAGAAGTGGTTTTGCAGCATCAGGCGCAACATAGTTGTCGCCAAAAAATTCGAACTTTATACGCTGACAACGAAACCCACCTCTCTCTCTCTCTCTCCTCGCTCCTTCCTTCTTCGTCGATCGGTTCTTCCCCAGTCTCTCTCATCGCAAACCCCACGAGCAGCTGAGCTCGTGATCTGCTGCGACCCCAGCAAATGGCGGAGAAACCCCAGCCCGTCAAAGTCCCGTACTGCGCCGCCTGCTCTATGCCCGCCGAGTACTGCGAATTCGCCCCCGATTTCGAGAAATGCAAGCCCTGGCTCCTCCAGAACGCCCCCGAGCTCTACCCAGATCTTCTCAAAGGTGAAATTGTTGTTGCTGCTCCCAGTTATGATTGCCCTTTTCTTTTCTTTCCTTTCTTTTTAGAGATTGAGTCGTGTTCGTGATCTTGGGTTCTAGGGTTGTGGGTTTTTCGGGGTTGTTTTGCGTCTTTCGTGCGTTTCTTGTTTGATATGAGCTGGGGTACGTGGAATGTCTCGATAGTGATGTGGGTTTTTTTGGGCTTTTGTGTGATGGTGATTGATGTGCAGAGGCTGATGAGAAGGAGGCTGATAAGGTGTCTGAGCAGCTCCAGTCAGTCGGAATCTCCTCTAGCGGCAGTAGAGACGGCGCCGCTTCCACCGCCCCTCGCGGTGAGCTTCTTCTCTTCTTTTCAGATAATTCTTCTGAGGGGGAAAAAAGGTTCGAGGATTATAATCTCCAAGCATTGCTTGACGGATTGGTTTCGAAGGGGCCTAGTAGAAAAAATGTTATGCTTGTGGCTAGCTTAGCTGATTTTTGGATTGATTTGCAAATTCTATTCAAATATGGATGGAAAAACTATTGATTCATTTCGCTCGAAAATATGATTAGTATGCCTGCAAATCTTAAAACTATGAGCATGCTTTGTGTAATCCTGGTTTGTTACGGTTGGTAGATTGCTTTTCTTCAGTAGATTGCAAAGTCTAATTTGGAGGAGTGAACTCATTGAACAATGACAGTGCTGTGGTTATAACCTGCGAGATAAATTCCATCTCCAGGCGGCAGCATCTTTCTCCTTCAAAGAGTGTTATTATTTTAACATGCGTATGTTATCTGGTCGGATAGAGTAATTTGCTGAACTTCATCATATCATTCCCACTTCAGGGGATTCTTCTTCGAATAAGCCAGAAGAAGTGAAACGTCTACCTGGCGGAAAAGTTAAGAAGAAGGTAAGACACTGAATATGGATCTCAGTGCATTGAACCACAATTATGGTGAAGGCGTTTCTCTTGATGATTTATCCCGAATAATTTTGCATAGTGATTACACAGTGAGTCCTTCAGAGATGTTCTTAGAGATGCAACATGTATCTGTTTTCAATTCTTGCAATTCCTTTTAGAGGACGTTTTATTCATTTTCCTGATTAGACATGTCTACCAGTTTGGTTGACATCTCTGTGTTTTTTATTATTACTCTGTTTGCTATAAAGTTTGATCTCATGAGCAGCAACTTGTGATACTTCTCGCAAACTAGGGATGGCATGGGTTGGTTATCAGTTGTGATCTGTACCTATTGCTCTCATGTCTCTTTCTAACAGAGAAGACCTGATTTTATAGCGTGCCTGTGCGCATTGTATGTATGTAAGGGTGGGCATGCGTTTGTGTATTTTTGGCTGTCAATTGTATAGCATATATGAGGTTCAGTACAAATATAGAACAGCAAATCTTGCTTTGCCCGCCCTTTTATCTGAAATATATATTTCTCGTGCCTTAGTTGCTTGCTGGTATTTATCAGTTATACTGTTCCCTTACCTCTTATATAGAACTCTCATAAAGAAGTGCATTAGTAACAACAATGACATTATGTAGGATAAGCAAGAAGTTGTGATCGAAAAGGTCATACGTAACAAGCGCAAATGTATCACTGTTGTCAAAGGACTTGAGCTATTTGGTGAGTAATATGCTTTTCCTTTCACATTCATAGTAGGTGGCTGATAATTCATCGGTAAGTTTAAGCTTGTCAGTCAATTTACCATGTGTCTCATCTCAGGCATTAAACTCAGTGATGCTTCAAAAAAGCTAGGAAAGAAGTTTGCAACCGGAGCATCAGTTGTCAAGGTAAGTGAAATTGCATGCATTGGTGCTTCAATGCTCTTATTAATTCATGTTGATTCTCTGAAGGACTTATTAATTGGCGGTCATTTTAGGGACCGACTGACAAGGAGCAAATTGATGTTCAAGGAGACATATCCCTTGATATTGTGGAGTTCCTCACAGAAACCTGGCCTGATGTAATTCCCTTTGACCATTATCTTTGTTGTAATATGCGACAGCTTCAAGCTATTTCAGAGGAATATAGTTATATTTTTCCTTTTGTCCCTCTTTTCTGGAATCAACGAAAGCACGGTCATCTTAAACATGAAGGTCAGGAATGATCATCAAACTAATGGCTGGTGTTTAGAGAGTTTAATCTTTGCTTTAGCTGCTCCTGGTTGTGTTAAATTGAGAGCTGTGAGAGAGGTAGATTACATTGCTAGTGATACTCCTGGTTATTTGAGCTAGCTAAATCAGCCTGTCTGCTCTTAGCCTCACGATTTGCAACTTATATACCTTCACTGGTTCTGTTGATTTCTGATGATGAAAACGAACTGGCTGCTATGTCTTTATTATATGCTTGTCACATGGTGACGTTATTTGCCTTTTGCCATCTTCGAACCATTCATTAAGCTTTGACTATGCATATTAGCTTACAACCGATATTGGCCCTTTTTTTCTGTGAAATATAGGTGCCTGAGGCTGCTATATACTTCATTGAAGATGGAAAAAAGGTCCCAGTGGTTTGAGTTGAAGTTGTTCCCTGAGTGATCTGGTTGGTTTCGTGACATAAACACAAGCTGGAGAACCGCTGTGCTTGTGATTGGAGCACCTTATGTTGAGCGGCCACAGCTAATTTTAAGGAAGAACTCTGTGCTGGAGATGTTGAATATTTATAGGTGTTGATTCTCCAGCAGCTTTTGAACTTGTCATAGTTATAGTTCTGCAGTTTTATTTTGGGTTATATATATACACGAAAAGGATGAGCTTCTTATCTTACCTTTACTACGCCATACGATCTCGTGTTGGTACTCGCTGCTCAGCTGAGTTATTGAAGGAACATTTCTGTTCCCGTGCTCGAGGAGCTGAGCTGATCTCTGCTGGTTCTTGGTGAAGTCTGAGATCCGATTTGTGGGTACTGTAGAAAAATTGCAGATCATCATCCTGTTATCTTGTGCTTTGCCTCGATATTTCTTAGCATATGGACTTACTAATTAGTAGCATCAACTTGGCGACTATGTAACATGATGGCACATCATGAAACTAATGTCTCTGTGCTCTGCATAGTTATGAGCATAGATTGGACTATGGACCGGCCGATCTATGCATGCAATTTCGCCATCGTTATTCAATATTATAGCATGATCTGTGTAACATTATATGGTGTGGCCTAGGCAATTTCGCAGTGAAATGCAGAGACTAAATCGATGCCAAGCCGGGCCAAGAACTGTGGTTTATCTCGCTTTATCTGTCTGTCTGATTTTGGGGAATTTCAGGCGCTCTTACTGACCCAAAACCTTGTAGATATGGTAGTATTTCTCTATGTGGTTAGATCAAGTGCTGGTAAGTTTCGTAATCGAGATAGCAACATTCTCAACTTTTACGGTACTAAAAAAATATCCTTAGCCACTACGCCCGTGACCCGCCTCGACACTTGTCAACCCTTTTTGCTAGCATGTATTTTGCTCGATTATCAAAGACCGGTCACGGATCGATATGCCATATGAAATGTAGATCATCTAAGTGTTGTCGGATGATCTGATATGAAAATGTAGATCATCTAAGTGTTGTCGGATGATCTGAGGATGCAAAATACCCTTGATCTCTTGCATAGGTACAATGAATGATAGAGGCTCTCTTGCATAGTTACAATGAAGCGTTAGAGGCTTACAATGAACTTGAACGAAATGCATTCACCTTTTCAACGAAGTAGCGGATAGTATAAATAATTTGAAAAATATTTTCTAGAAAATATTTGCTTATATCGTTTACAAAAATGACTAAATGAAAAATATTTTCATCGTGCACGAAATTATTTAAACATAAATTATTATTGATAATGAGAAGATATTTCAATAAATAATTATTTCAAATGATACGAATGGTCATTTTTAAAATTAAATATTTTTTAAATCAATTATTTTTCTCGGGTTTTTCAAGTCCATGTAAAGTATCGGGCTCGACCCGATTCGGGCCTCCGACCCTGGAAAAGACAGCACTAAGGGAAAAAACAAACAGAAAAACTTGTCTGTCATCGGATAAACCGACAGACCAAAAAAAAAAAAAATCGGATAAACCGAATATGCCCCCCTCTTCTTCGTGGGATTCTTCTTCTAGACTTCTTCGTCTTCCTCTCGAGCTCAATGAAAGCCTCAACGCTTGGGGAAAAACCCTATGTAGCATAAGATCCATCGTCATTTCGAAAGGCGGTTGCTTTCTCTATAAGTTCCTGTCTCTTCCTCAAGGTGATCAATCTTTCCTGCTCAAGCTTTAGTCGTAGCCGTTAAAGTCAGAATTTTTTCTTTTCTTTTGATTGATCCCATTAGTTTCTTGATGTTCAGGAGCTTTCGTGTTTGGTATTATGGCCTCTTAGGAGGGCTTAAAGTTTAATATTGGTTTTAATTCGTGTATTGGTGTTCTGGGTAGTCGCGTTTATTGGCTGGGATGGTGACTTCTTTTGTTCATCTGGTGTTGTCAAAGTGATTATCCTGTGCGAGTACAGGATTAGTGTTAGCCCACATCAGGGTGTACATGCTTCGTTTCTCGTTTGGTCTTTCGGTTTCTTTGATTGATGCAAGTTCCAAATTTGCTTGGTTGAGAGTAATGTGGGTGGACATGCTGGAGGCTATTGGATTGCTTAATCCCAAAATGCTGGAGAAAGTCAATTCGGAGCGAGCATCTCAGATGCACTCTCAGAAATGTGAGCTCTGGCGCCAGAACTATGCTAGCATTTAAACAATGCAAACAAAGAATAAGCAATCCTCTGTTCGTTCCAATCAGCCAGGCTAATCACTGGTCATTGGAGTTGTGTAGTTATGGTATATGATGATTGCTTATCCTTTGGTTGCCTTGTTTGAATGTTGACATAGTTCTGGCGCCAGAGCTCGCATTTCTGAGAGTGCATCTGAGATGCTCGCTCCGAATTGACTTTCTCCTGCATTTCAAAATTAACCGGTTTGAATTTCCTGAACTGGAGCTACTTATTCTTTCGGGTATTTGAGTCAGGAGCTAAATTTCGTGGCTCAAGGGGCAGTATTTTGCAGGTTTTGGTGAACTGCAAGTACCGTGGCTTATTTTCTTGCTAATTTGTGTCCTAAAGTTTCAGGTACATGTGCTCAGTAGTGGGAGGAAAATAAGACCAATATGGCTCATCTAGTTTCAACATCATGCTCTTTGAAGATCTCTGCCACTAATAAAGCGTTCCCTCAAAGATCAAATCAGGGTCCAACTGCATTTCCTTCTTCTTGGGCTTTACAAAGTTCAAAAAGTCCATACGAGAGTCTTATTTCTCGACAAGAGAAGCATCAAAGAAAGTTTATTGTTCAAGCGACAGCAGTGCCTCTGAACCAACAGGCACCTACTCAAGCTGGTGCTAGCTCTTATCAGCACTCTAATGGTTCATCCAAGATGCAGCGAGTCATGATTATTGGTGGAGATGGTTACTGTGGCTGGGCCACAGCACTTCATTTATCCAACAAAGGATATCAAGTTGCCATTGTGGATAGCCTTGTTCGTCGTCTGTTTGACCACCAACTTGGTCTTGATTCCCTGACTCCTATTGCCTCAATCCACAACCGTCTTCGACGCTGGAAATCAATCACTGGGAAAGCTATTGAGCTTTACATCGGTGACATATGTGACTTTGAGTTCTTATCAGAGACCTTCAAGTCATTCGAGCCTGATGCTGTTGTCCATTTCGGAGAGCAGAGATCTGCTCCTTACTCCATGATAGATCGGTCAAGAGCTGTTTTTACGCAGCACAACAATGTCATTGGAACTCTTAATGTGCTCTTTGCTATTAAGGAGTTTAGAGAGGAGTGTCATCTGGTGAAGTTGGGCACCATGGGAGAATATGGAACTCCGAATATTGATATCGAGGAGGGTTACATAACTATCACTCATAATGGACGAACGGATACTTTGCCCTATCCAAAACAAGCTAGCTCCTTTTACCATCTAAGTAAGGTCCATGATTCGCACAATATAGCCTTCACTTGCAAGGCTTGGGGGATAAGAGCAACAGATTTAAATCAAGGAGTGGTTTATGGGGTGAGGACAGACGAGACTGAGTTGCATGACGAGCTCAATAACAGATTTGATTATGATGGAGTATTCGGAACTGCATTGAATCGGTTCTGTGTTCAAGCTGCAGTCGGTCATCCACTTACCGTGTATGGCAAAGGGGGCCAGGTAACAATCTTCTGCTTACAAAGAGCGTGGTTGTATCTCTACATGCCGATTTCACATTTCATCTTTTGACTGTTTTCATTCAACATAAGCAACAATAACCCAAATATATAAATTCTAAATGGTAAAGCTTTTACAGTTGCCTATGGACTTATTCATCAAGCTTCAATTGAAAGTACCTTCTCCATATGGCTCTCTTGAACTGTAATTGGTGTCTTTAGCTGTTTTGCGTTAAAAAAGACAAAATATAATGGAATGACGATCCCTATTTTTTTGTTTGGTAAACTGTGGAATGGAATGAAGATTCTTGTGTTTGGTTGTAAGAAAAAAATATTACGGGAATGGAATTGAATGGGATTTTCTAATTAGTTTAAATTGTATCTACTTGCATCAATCGTATAATAATTGAAATTTCTTAAATATAATGTAGAATTATCAAATCTTTAATATTAATCATATTTCATTAGTTATAATCTGATAACTGTAATTTACAATTATTTATCATGAAGTATTGGCATTCCTTTCAATGAAAGGGGCCATTCAAGCATTGCCATAACTTTGTCCGAAAGAAGCTAAAAGTTGGAGCTTTACTTCTCTCAACATTCAATCATTTATAAAGTGACTTTTGGACCTTGGATGTATTGTGGAGTGATCCATGTATTTCCATCTTCATTAATACCTTTTTCTTCATTAATCATTCTCTCTTTTGCGTTTCTTTGACCTTGTCCTTATACTTTGCAGACCAGGGGATACCTTGATATAAGAGATACAGTTCAATGCGTTGAGCTTGCTATTGCAAATCCAGCAAATTCCGGTGAGTTCCGCGTCTTTAATCAATTCACTGAGCAATTTTCTGTCAATCAACTTGCCGCCCTCGTTACAAAAGCTGGAGCCAAGGTTGGGCTTGACGTGCAAACCGTCAATGTCCCAAATCCAAGAGTAGAAGCAGAAGAACATTATTACAATGCCAAGCACACTAAGCTGATTGACTTGGGACTTGAGCCGCACCTTCTTTCGGACTCCCTCTTGGATTCACTGCTTAACTTTGCGATAAAGTACGAGGACCGGGTTGACAAGAAACAGATTATGCCCAGCATATCTTGGAAAAAGATTGGAGTCAAACCAAAAACTGTTGCGGCCTAATTTTCAATAGAGGTGATTTAGGGGGCAGACATGAAACATCAATCATAGATTTCTTCTTCCTTTCCTTTTGCCTTCACAGCTGTTTTCTTTTTTTCTTTATAAGCAGTGTTGTATCTTTCTCTCTTAATGCGGTCCTTATCGACTGTGGTGCAGTTCTCGCTGCCCAAGTCATAGTCGCTTATGTAGAATTATGAATTGGAAATGATTGTATGCCAGTAGTATAATGGGTGGACATATAGAAGAACAGCCTTTTCTCTTGTGCTTAGCGCACTTCTGGCGGGAGAGTTCATCAATATGTTGGGAATTGCAAGGTTCCATCTGACAGAAAGCAAAAACAGCAATCTTGTCCGGATATTCAAGGTTTTTGCTTCTTTGATTATTGGAAAAATTCCAAATAAATGCATGAAGTGCCTTTATTTTCTCAAATAAGGGCCTGAAGAAGTGGACTTTATGCCAAATAAGGACTTGAAGTGTCCTCATTTTCTCAAACAAGGGTTTGAAGTAGATTTTATTTTAAATAAGGATCTGAAGTGGCTATGTTTATTTCAAATAAGGACCCATCTTTCAAGATGGTAAGGGCATTTTTGTCTTTTAACTTTTTTTTGAATTTTTTTCCTTTTTTTTTTTTTCATTTTCTGGTTTCCCTTTGTTCTTGTCGGTGGCCGGCCACTAGCCATCGGCGAAGCCCGAGATGGGCTGGGCTAGGGTTGCCCTTGCCGGCACAGGCGAGGGATGGCCTCGCTCGGGCAAGGCGACCCTCGCCAAATCTGGATGAGGGTCACCTTGCCAGCTGCTGGCGAGGCACGGCCTTGCCTCGATCTCGCCTGTGGCTTTCGAGGGTGGCCTCACGCAGGGCGAGGGTCACCTCGCCGAGGTGAGACTGGCCTCGCCCATGGCCAGCGAGATCGTCCCTCCCTGGTTGCCGGCAAGGGTTCCCACCCCTTCCCGAGCTTCGCCAATGGCTAGCGACCGGCAAGAGCAAAGAGAAAAACAGAAAAAGGAAAAAAAAGAAAAGAAAAAGAAAAAGAAAAATAAAGGAAAAACAAAGAAAATTAAAATTGTCTTTGGACGAAAATGCCCTTGACCGGCCAGCGAACGGCGAGGTTAGGCCCTCATTTGAAACTTTCATGGTCACTTCAGGCTTTTATTTGATACTGGCATGTCACTTTAGGCCCTTATTTGACACTAAGTCCATTTCAGGCTCTTATTTGAGAAAACGAGAGCACTTCAGATCTTTATTTGGAATTTTCCCTTGATTATTTCAATTGCTATGCAGGAATAGATATTGTTCACGTATTTGGTCCAAAGCAGAGGTGTTTCCACAGGTCTAACCCTTATTTTTTTGGAAGGGAGGGGGGAGGGGATGGCTGTTTAGCTGTCTACATTTTCTTTATTCTGCTTCTGGATAAACCGGGGGAAAGGCAACTGATTCTACAACCTAACAAAAATGTCAACAACCATGTTAGGAAGCAGCCTAATTTTATGTAGAATCTCGTAGCTGGAGTTCATTTGTATAAGAAAAACATCATCCATATGTTTACTCAAACTGATCAGCGAAGAAGATGCTGCTTGTTTTCCACATATAATTGAAGAACTTTTGCCAGTTTAACTTCCAGTGCAAGTCTCAATGTTTTCCCAGTTAGATGACATATTGGGGGCGGGCTGCACTTTTCAGATTAGTTCTTCAAGGGTTTTCTTACATCTACACCAAAGAATTAATCCGCCAAAAGTTTCCAGCTGTTTGACAGCCACATTTCTGTTGCCAACTTGCCATTCAATGTGATCTCAATTGCACTTCCTCTTGGTTCTCCACAAACTCGACGATCGCACTTCCTCCTGGTTCTCCACAAACTAGACAAAAGAACTTCGGTCAATAATAGGGTGACCGTGACTAGTTTTGCTGTCAAGAATCATCAGATACACCAGAATAGACTTGCAATGACATCAAAGAATGACCTGCCTGTTACCAGTGCTAAGCTTGGCAGTTCTGTACAGTTGGCTTGAAACTTGACAAGTATTTTAAGGCTGTAATCATGCAAGTTGCGACATTTTTTTCACTGCATGATTTGTTTACTTTGCATTTGACTAGAAACATGATACCAAGTTGCATGATGGGTACATTTTTTCCAACTATGATGTCAATGCGCTTGAATAGCTCGGAAAGGTGAGGACAAGTGAGAGGAGTGCTTGTTTGCATGGCTCTGCCAGTCCTCATATTGGAAGTAAAAAAGGGCAGCAGAAGCGATGATGTTTTCACATCCTTGAATGAGGAGAATTTGCAGGTTTTGGTGGCAGAAATGGATTGACCGTGCTTTTGTTTGGACAACTATCAGTCTTCACAAAATCCAAGACAACAGAAGTTAACTCATCCTGATGCGAGGTGTATTCATGATCAGCTCCTTCTATGATGCACAGCTTGTGATTCGATATCACCTTGGCAAACTCCAGAGAATCTTCCGCCGGTACAATTTTGTCAATAGAACCATGAACAGTCAACACCCTACAATTACCAGCATAAGCACCCGAGTGTCATCGGAAAAATAACAAATTTAGTGACTGCTAGGAAATATCACAAGATTGCTAACTCAGTTCAATCAATTAATGGCCATGATAATCCGTATACTATTTAGCTGGAATAGAGAAAATAAACCAGATGAAGATGCATCGACCTAGCCATTACGAAAAGAAAAATTGTATGGACTTTCTCAGCTCATTAACGTGGGATGTAAAAGCCGGATTTGATTATAAACAGACAACCAAGATTATACACGTTTAAGGGTGTCCACTCTACTAGTCAGAGACAAACTTCCTATGTTAGAGATTGATTCTACCACAATACCAATCTACAGATTGCAAGAGAAAAGAAGAATTGACACCAGCTTTAGCAGATCAGATAAGATGCACCCTACCATACTACCATAATTCTGACCTGCAGTCTCTGGAAATAATTTGGGATGATGTGCAAGTATCAGTTGTAAGGCGGTCAATCAAACTTTCTTCTGTTACTCGATACTCGAACTTTCCTGCAAATGGACAAGAATGCACTACTATCTTTTAACTCTGGATCCTAAATCCTCTACAGCTCCATCAATTAGATGGTGAATATGCATGCGCAATAATAAGCTTCAGGTGGTGAAACCCTTTTCCAAAAGCATTGACTAACAGGTTACAAGCACAACAAAAGATTTCCACACTGCAATTAGAAACTCGACGACTTTAATAACAATACAAGTAGACTGAGTTGATAAGATAATTTACCTCTTTTATTCTTCACATCAATGAATCCATTCTTCTTGATCCTTTGCAGAAAATCTTTACCTAATCGACCTTCAATGCCTCTCTCCAGATTGAAACGTCCAGATATGTTGACTACAATATTTACGTCACTATATTTTGATGCATACAAGAGCACTACATTTCCTCCTGCAAACCCACCAGAAACGTAATGCTTTACTGAGGTTACTTCAGAATTACTGGAGGTTCATGTTTTCAAATATCCCAAAATACAGATAAAGTCAACCTTTGCTGTGTCCAATAATTGCCTTTATAAAACGTTTCTGCCCCAAGAAATGTTCGATTACAGCCCGTAAGTCATCAGCTTCTCTCCAATAGTTACCATACTGAAATGAACCTTCGCTTTCCCTGAGAGAGAGAGAGAGAGAGAGAGAGAGAGAGAGAGAGAGAGAGAGAGAGAGAGAGAGATGAATCAAAAGCACTTTAAGCACAAGATGAATTAAAGAAACCTTGCAAGAGCACTGATTTAGAGAAGCCAACTGCAGATAAACTATTGAATGTTCTCCAGCTTCAATATGAGCAACTAAAAATACAGATAACAGATAAATCAGTCCTTTTCAGCTGAACCCTGATCAAAGGAACTGCTTCAGTAAACTGATTATGGAGTTAGCAGATACTCAGCTAGTCAAAGATCAAGACGACTGTATATTTGGTGAATAACAGTAGCATATTTCCATGCAGGTCTTACCAAAAAAGGATTAAGTTATTTCAGTAAATACATTCGACCAACTCCAATAATTTTAACCATTAAGATCTTAGAAGATTTCTCAAAACCTTTATCACTTAGTTTTCGACTTTTCGGAAATATATTAGCCGATGAATTAGTAGTTGTTGTTCTTGTTTCTTTAGTACCTCGTCCTAAATAAGGATGGATGTCTTGAGCGTGACAACTGCTGGTGACAACAATCTGACATTGGAATGAAAATCCTCAATAAGCATTATGACATGAACTTGCAGAAATGAACCACATCATCTTTATGGGACTTTCTAATTCAATACTTAGATGACATGGGTTATAGAAAAATCAAGGAGCTTGAAACTTCAATACTCTGTCGATCAAATAATTCAAAAGTATTTATATATTTCAACCGTTATAAAGAATAAGATTTCAAAGCACAGCTAGGCTTCTTGTCGAAGAATCTCTAATGAGATCTGCGAAACCTTTTCTACTGGTCACAAAGCGCATAGCAGTGGGATAACCGCCTCTTTTGACACCATGGCATCCTCCGGAGAAAAATTATAAACTACTTAGCTCACCCATATCCTTATTTATCAAGAAATGACTCACCCGTTTCCTGCAAAGTCAAAACGGAAAGCGCTGATTCCCTCCCTCTCCAAAGCGCCGGCAAGGTTTACCATAGGAATGCGCTCCTGCGAAATAATCAGCATCACACAACATGATCAGCGTCGCATATGTTTTAAGAGAGTAAGTTCTTTGCAACCCACATTCAGCTGGAGAGTGTGATGACAATTTTATGGAAGGATTAATATACTGAAAACCAAGACATTCTCGGAAACTTTTACTTTGCAGAATGAAGGCGTAGATCTCTAAAAAGCAGAGGAAGAGCAATGTGGGACAAAGCATAATTGTATTATCAACTAATGATGTTGATGATGTTGCGGCTCGCATAAAGCATTGCATCCTATCCAAGGACTTCAAAAGTTTTAAAAGTCAATGTTAATTTAGGAGAATGTGTGCATCTACAAGACATCACCACACGTAGAAATCGCAACCAAATGCGGAAATATCGCCAATCTCATTTGTCTATCAACAAATTTCATAGAAGGAAGCTACAAAATGTAATTTTTCAGAACCAGTGGTCATCTTAGTCAGACTGGGATTGCAGCAAAAGTCAACATGACCAACCTTTGAAGACTGGAACCCATGACACAACACAACGAGCTCCTTCGACCCTGTCTCGTGCAATATGCCCACAAGATTCTCGCCGTGCCTGTTCGGTATAACGATTCTCCGTTCATGCATAACTACACAGAGAGAGACAACGACCCGAAACGATTCAAGCCAAGAGCTTTTCGAATACCCATCACAGCCCTCGCTTTTCTAAACGATGGGCAAGGACTCAAAATCACTAAGAACTCATCATGAATCCGAACTCGAGAAATTCAAAGAGAGAAGAGCTTCATCAGAATTCGCTCGCCGGGCTGAATTACTTGGTGAAGATGAGGAGCTGCCATTACCAGGATTGCCGACTCGTTCGGCTCGGAGCTGACTCGGCCGGGCCCGCGACATGGAGGAGGGAGCTTTCAGCTTGGAGCCCTCGGTGAATCCGATCCCGGCGAAAATGGAGAATGTATGGTGGGAAGTTGGAAAAATGGAACATTTAATTGAGGTCGTATGTGTAATTTCTCTCTCAGAGTCATACACAGCTTATGAATTTATGATCTACCTACGACAATGAAAGAATTGTTGGTTTCGAAACCTTATTATATTTTTAATAATTCGAGCTTAATTTGAGTTCAGATTATAAAGTTCAGAAGCCGACCTTGAGGAGTCAATCGCGATCGAGGTTGAGGAAGCGGTAGCGATCGAGATCAAGGTTACTTATCATAGGACGCTCGATGGACCTTCAAATGATTAAACTGCAAGTAGGACTCGAAATATAAAAAGGGTTTGAAGGCATGCATATTGGATGGAATTTCAAAGTGCTCTTACCACAAGTCCTAAATATTTTTTTGTTTTTTTTTGTAATCGAGAATTCGCCACCATTCCCCAGGGATGAGCCCGCACAGGTAATCGGGGCGCCTATACCTCGGGGGAGACTAGCCCAGCAACCCACCGCCAGGGCCCCCACTTAAATTACGGAACCGAGCGGGGATTCAAACCCAGAACCTCTGAGGAGGGAAGGAAAGCGCCTACCAACTCGGCTATGCTCATGTGGGTAAAAATATTTTATAATTATGTCAATTTAATCTTAAATATTTCAGTCGTATCAATCAAATCATAAACCTTTGGAAAATTTATCAATCTAGTCTTTCCGATCAAGTTTAGCTAGAAAATTGCTAACTAGAACCTTATCGTCCTACATGACACAACCTACATTCGTGAATAATTTTTACGATTTAAAAAAAATATTTCGATTTTCTTATTTTATTCTTTTATTTGTTTTTCTTTTGCCTTCTTCCTATGTTGGTTGCTAGGTCTCAACGGCCTGCCACATGAGAGAGCCAGTGAGGGCCGACCTCGAACGAGGCTTAAGCTTGCCAGATCCATCGAGGTTAAGCTCGCCGGTAGGTCGTCAAGGCTCCACGTCACCTGATCCCACAAGCTTGAGCCTAGCCAGCCTCGATCGAGGCTACGCCTTGTCAGACGTCGGTGACGTCAGTGAGGAGCAGACGAAGGAGGAAAATAAAATAAAATAAAATAAAATGTTAAATATTAATTTTTTTAAAATCATAAAAATTATGCACATCTACGTCAATTATGTCACGTAAGACGGCCGGCGTCCACGTCAACAATTTCCAACCAAAATTAGCCGGAAAAACTAAATTGACAACTTGTCAAATAATCTAGAACTTAATTAACATAGTTGAAAAATTTAACACTGAACTAGCACAAACGCAAAAAGTTTATGACCTTCTTGATACCGTTCAAAGTAAGTTATTAACAATACATACCCTGTTTTTCTTGTGTCAGTCGACGCTCTAGAAACCGAATTGTTCCATATTAAGCATATTTAATCAATATAACAGAGGCACTCGTCGACAAGGATCCATATTAAACTATAAAAAGAAGAGAAGAATAATCAAATTGTCTTCCAAATCTCATGTGAGAAAAAGAGGAAGACTAGTTCTAGACATGAACTATTTGTACAGAGACAGCCTAGCCAAGAAAACAATGTCCTAAGAGATTACAAAGAAAATCCCAATCCGCTGTCTACACAGATCGTACTGATATAGACAGAGAGGCAGTAGAAGAAGTCATATGACGTTTATTGGGGGCTTTCTATCTTGCGGGTGAAATTCGCAAATGGTATGCCAAGCACGTGTACACAAATCGCAAATTAGAAACTTCCCTGAATTGAGAGATCATTGGTCTCTCGTGTACCTTGAGAGGTCAATTGCAGTTCCGGTCATATACTCGAAATGCTATCAATCTCTGGGCAAAGCATGATTTCCCTACCCTTCTAGTCTCTACCATTATGGAGCATCATATAAATGCAGAACCTACAGAAATGTTGATCAACATCCAAAAACAGAGAGTATGAAAAAAATCAAAGTGACTTGCTTTGCCGCAATGCAGTCGGCAACTACGGTACCGAGGGATGAGTGGTGCACAAAATCTGGAGAAGTCCTTCGGCATGAACCCTTGAGAAATGACCACACGAGGATCTTAATTTTATTCTGTCGTACATACCACTTGCTAATCTTTCTGCAGTACCGAAATGGAGCTTCTCTGCATACAATGAGAACTCACAATTGGCAGCTGATTGAAACATAGAAAAGCAAGAGTTCGGTTATTTTCTCTCTCCTAAAGAAAATAATGGGTGAAAGGAACATGATGTTGCAATCGGTTGCTGCTACTGCTAGTATAATAAAGAGGTAGGCGGCTCAACATACAAGCTTAAACCAGAGTCATCTACTGCACAAGTTCTCGATTCTCTCATAATTTTCTTTGTTGCCCCGCATCAGTCTATAAAAAACAGACTCTGAATAATCCTTGACCTCGGTACTCTATTATATCGTTTAAAGCACTACATGCCAGTTCCCATTTAATTCAATATATGTACAGTCAAATGTCATATACAGACTCTGCATTAGAACATTAGCCAATAGTTGAGACCAGAAAGCATCCCTCATTAGTAGACTTAACAGGAGCGTCGGTGCCTACAATTATACCATAAAGTTATTGCAAAACAACAAGAACTAAAGTAAACATAAACACTATCAATAACTCTTAGGGCACTTGAATCAATGGCCTTTCCACCTCCATACAGTGCATCCATCAGAAAGCTACAAATGAACAAAATTTGCACGTTGGCATCACCTGCGACAATATTTGCCAAATTATGAGTTAAGGTGACAGTGGACCAGACTGGCAGCAACCAAACTGCAAGATTTTAGACTAGACTTACATTATACAATATTAAGTTTTTTTTAAATTTTTTTTTTATCTTTGGCAATCAATAGGCCTTCTAAAAAAGGCGTAAAAGTATATATATATAAAAACTAGATTCACCATGCAGTCATAGATGACAGCTTACCAACCTCCTTCCTGCTATGATCCCACAGGAGCAATGCCCTTTGCTTTTGCAGCAGCAGTGGCGGCTGCAGCTGCGGCAGCAGCTGCAGCGGCAGCAGATGCAGCCGGATTTGGCGTTGAAGGAGGCACTGGGTTGGACTGGGAGCTGTTCTGTTGTGAAACTACCTGCTGTTGCTGTTGCAAATGCGGCTGCTCAGAATTGACTTGGGCAAGTAGAGCCTTTATCTGGCTTCCTGAGAGCGTTTCAAACTCAAGCAAAGCATTAGCAAGTGCATGGAGTTCCTTGCTATTTGTTGTAAGGATGGCCTTGGCGTTGTTGTAAGCCCTGTCAAGAAGCCGCTGCACTTCTTTCTCAATAAGAAGTCGAGTCTCGGTGCTCATGCTCTTGCCATAGTAGTTATAAGTTACAAGCCCGGCTTCATTGCTCATACCATATTTTGTAACCATTGTTCTGGCAAGGTTAGTAGCTTGCTGAAGGTCAGAGGATGCACCAGCAGTCACTTCATTCTCTCCAAAAATGAGCTCCTCTGCAACTCGCCCGCCCATGAAAACATCAAGTCTAGCAAGCATCTGCTTACGGGAGACACTTGTCTCATCCTTATCAGGCAGCTGGGAAACCATGCCCAGAGCCATGCCTCGGGGAACAATTGTGGCCTTGTGAACTGGAAGAGCTCCATCCGTATGAATAGCCACAAGGGCATGTCCACCCTCATGAAAAGCTGTAAGTTTTCTTGATTCATCAGAGATGACAGCGGATTTTCTTTCACTTCCCATCATGATCTTGTCCTTTGCATGCTCAAGATCTGCCATGCTGACAGCTTTGGAACCATCCATCGCAGCCTTCAGAGCAGCCATGTTGACTAAATTTGCCAGATCAGCACCCGAAAATCCAGGTGTTCCTCTCGCAATAATCTTTAGATCAACATCCTCTGCCTTCAGTACCTGTTAACAGCATTCACTTAGTTAGGCTTTGTCCTATATAGTAAATATTTGTCCAAGAATCAAGGAGAATGAATACCCGGATTCCTGCCTTTTCTACGCATATAGAGTTAGCAGCACTAAACCACCACCCAACAGCTAAGAGCACAACATAGATGTAACTTGACAGGCATCAAACGCATGTTGATTTCTTGTGATAAAGCAAAATCATGATGCTGAAAAAACTCGGTTTGAACCAAAGGGCTTGTATATATTGGCTATTGTGAAAGCATGTGTAAATAGGAGAGTAGTGCTATCCGGGATCAAGTCTCATGGTAAGATAAAGAATATGCTAAAAGCAAATGGATAAATGGATAAGAGAATAAAGAGCCCATGAGCAAGACATAATAAGCTTATTTCCCCAAGAACAATATAGATTAACCGAGCTTTTAGCTGTTGACTATGAAAATAGATATAGGTCAAAAGAGACAAATCCTCCTAATATGTAGTAGAAACAAAATATGTTCCTGAAGTATAGTACCTTTGACATATGGGACTCCAAAATCTGTCTCCGCCCTTCAACATCGGGATTGGGGACAACAATATGTCGATCAAACCGTCCAGGTCTCACCAGTGCCTTGTCCAATGACTCGGGAAAGTTTGTCGCAGCGATCACAATAATCCCTTCATTTTGTTTGAAACCGTCCAACTCAACAAGTAGCTGATTCAAAGTCATCTTCATGTATTGCTGATCCTTCGGGTTGCGGCTTCCACCAATTGCATCTATCTCGTCTATGAATATAATACAAGGAGACCGTTTCTTTGCAGCAGAAAAAAGATCTCTTACCCTCCGAGCTCCAACACCAACAAACATTTCTTCAAACTCACTTCCACTGCATGAAAAAAAAGGCACTCCAGCTTCTCCGGCAATAGCTCTTGCTAGCATAGTCTTACCAGTACCAGGTGGTCCAACAAGTAAAACACCTTTTGGGAGCTTACCACCGAGACGTGTGAAACGCTGTAACAGAAAAGCAGCAAAACATATTTTAGCGCAGCAAAAACAAAGTAAATTTAAACATGATGTGAAGGACTACATCAGAATACATAGGTGAGCCAATTGAAATTTGGTGAAAAAGAGCCAAACAAACCACAAACCTTAGAAGTAGACAGAGCACTAAGTGGGTAGGGAAACATAAAAGAGAAAGTTATGCCCAGCAACTCGTAAAGATAATAAAAGCCAACAA